TACTGACTACGTCGCCCATAGCAGCTTGATCATTCTGTACCCACGTTCAGGAGACAACCATGTTCTCAGCACGTTCACACAAAAGTCTAATCCATGGGTAGTGTTGTTTATATCTCAGATTGAATCCGCAAATGAAACAGCGCAATAGTACGTGGTCTACGCGGTGTTATTATGAGCGTACGGTCTGATTATGTGTAAGTAGTGTAACTACATGGTGATGTTGTCTCTGTTGCTACGGACTCAGAGGTGACGGACAGGACAGGGTGTGGTCTGTACTTCAGTACTGTAGTCTGCAGTACTGTAGTGTAGAGAATGAGTAACGCGCAGCTACGGCATTTTGGACTATTGCTGACCATGATTATGTCCGTCTTCCAGAAAACGTGATGAAAGGGGGCGGTCAACGATGACAAATTTTCTGGGGCAAGTGGGGGGGTGCCCACGACGGATTAGAGCTCATGTCAGTGGTGGCTCGGATAAATAGTGGGTGTATTGTTGTATAGGTAGATAAGATCTAAGTGTAGATAGTGTATTCAATTAGCCATAAATAAATACATTGGTGGACCAAATAACAATCACATTGCTCGAAACCAACCTGTTAGAGATCGGATATCGCCACACTTAAGTGACTCCAATAAGGCAGACAATGTTAGGGTGGTCAGGTGTATATATTGTTAAGTTTCAATGCATCTAAGTCCGAGATTCCTCTGACCAACTGCCCACTATCTTGGACCGAGATTTGGTGGTTTTGTGTGGGTTAGGTCAGAGCAACTTGCCTATGCAAATACGTGGAATTTCTCCGATCCGCGCGAGATCGCCTGTTTCATTGCTGCCAAAACTCACATTGGGGCTATCATGCAAGATCTGATGGTCGACCATATATCGAATAACTAGATAACTTATATGCTTGCTCGCGTTGGTAAGAATCACTATCCTTTGTACTCTATTTACTCTTTAGTCGTATTTCCGATTGAAAATTTGTTGCTAACATTTCCCAATTCCACATGCATCTTGGCCATCGCATCGTTAATTGCGCAACCTTGGGATTAGTGGCAGGAAACCACGCTACCAAACTACGCTATCTCTGTTGTGTTTCCGCACAATTGCTAGGTTGGATTGAACGTATTGGATGGTGCCCGATGGCATGTCGGCAGGGAAACTTGTTAGGCCAAACAAATTTTCCCAAATCGAAATACGACTAGGAGTAAAAGAGTACAAGTCGTAAGCTTACCAACGGCGAGGCAACGCATAACTAAGTTACTCCAGTTTTCGAGTATATTGTGCATCAGAGTTCTTGAGTTGATAAGCCCCAATTGTGAGTTTGGAGCAATGAAACAGCGATCCTCAGCGGGATCGGAGAAATTCCACGTTTTGCATAGGCAAGTTGCTCTGACCTAACCCACACCAAAACCACCAAAATCGTCGGTGTGGGCATTGGTCAGAGGAATCTCGGACTAGTATGCATCATGTGTGCATGCATGTATGTATGGTGCAATGAACAGATACCATTTCCAAAAGGAAAACAAGTCTGATGACTCTACCGAATCCAAAACTGAAAACGTGAAGCCAGCTAGCCGACGCAGGCATCGTCACCAACGCAAGCCACCAGCGAAAGTCGAGTGGGAGGTGATAGAGGGGCTGAAGCAGGGCCAGCGCTGCGAGACGAAACCAGAAAAACATGAAGGCTACATGATGAAGCGACGCAAGTGGCCACTGAAGGGCTGGCACAAGGTGTGTGTGTGTGTGTGCGTGCCGGCGTGCGCATGTGCGGTAACCTTGCGGTGCTCGATTATTGAGTGAGGGAATCCTCCTTGCATATTTATTACGCAAGACGGTTAGATTCGTTCCGTTTTATTGGCATTCCACCTAAGCGATGGTGTAGATGCGGATGTAGATGAACGTTTTTTTAGTTCTGTTCCTCGGAATTAAAGTGAAATATATATGTGGATAGAGAAGTTGGTAAGAGAATTGGATCAATTTGCCGTCCCATACACAAGATCAATGCGGCTGCACAGAACGTAACTAGCTGATTGTGTTCCAGAGCACGTTGTTAAAAATATTGATTCATTGAACAATGCAAAACTGGGGTTACTACCCAGTACATGTTGAAAATGTTAATACATCCTAACAAAGTGAAGCAGTGCTATTTTCCAGTGCACTTTGCACGCTTCGTGGAAAATATTAATACAGCCTAGTAACAAAGCGAGACAGAAGTTACAACCTAACGTGCGTTGTAAAGGGCCGGACACACCAGGCGATTGCATCGGGCGATGGCATCGGGCGATGGCATCGCCCGATGGCATCGCGCAGTCGTGGACACACCAGGCGATTGCATCGGGCGATGGCATCGCCCGATTCTTGCGCGCGCAGTGCGCTTGGCTGATGAACTCTGATTGGCTGATGAATTGTAAAATCGGGCGATGTTATCGCCGGTCGCGGACACACCAGGCGATTGCATCGGGCGATGGCATCGGCCGATGGCATCGCGCAGTCGTGGACACACCAGGCGATTGCATCGGGCGATGGCATCGCCCGATTCTTGCGTGCGCAGTGCGCTTGGCTGATGAACTCTGATTGGCTGATGAATTGTAAAATCGGGCGATGTTATCGCCGGTCGCGGACACACCAGGCGATTGCATCGGGCGATGGCATCGGCCGATGGCATCGGGCGATAATATCAAAACGTTTTGATCTGTGCGATGGCATCGGCCGATGGCATCGGGCGATGAAATCGGCGGCGATTGACTGGACACACCAGGCGATGTTCACGCCGATGCCATCGGCCGATGCCATCGCCCGATGCAATCGCCTGGTGTGTCCGGCCCTTTAACGTTAACTTAACACATCCTAACAAAGCGAAACAAAGGTTACGACCCAGTGCACTCGCTGAAAATATTCACACATTCCGACAAGGTGACAAAGCGGTAACTGCACTTCGTCTAAAATCTTTGCGGGGAGGTATTAATCGAATGCCATCGCATTTCTCCTCACAGAGGTATTTTGCGCTGGAGAAGGGCTTTCTCGCATATGGGAAGACTGCCGAGCTGATGCACAAGGGGAAGCTGCACGGCTCGGTGGATGTCGGTCTCTCCGTCGTCTCCGTGAAGCAGCAGGAGATGCACATCGACATAGATGCAGAGGACTTCCTCTATCACCTCAAGGTGAGCATATTGAACTGCGATTTCCCGCGGGACCGTTCTCGTACATTCCTGACCATTACGTCATGATTGCCAGATTAACGAGCTTCTAGGGGGTAGGGTTTACGTATGTTACACCCCGCACAGACTGCAAAATTTTATCCTACATCAAGCTAGTCCGGGCCAGGCGCACGCTAAACCGCAGCGTACAGACAGACGCACCGAGCTCAACCGAGCTAAGTTAGCACGGGCTGTCTGCGCATGCTCAGATTAGCTTGTTACGTCACTCGGCAAACAGCTACTATACTTTTATGTGACCTTTTTTTGATGATTCTTTTAAAGTGTGTACCGCGAGAATTTTCTAGTGTTTTCCCCAATTTCATGATACCTACCGTTATTGCTTGAGTAACAGCAATTGTCTAGAGTAACGATAAAATGTCTTAGAACCTTCGTATTCACCAAATCCAATGAAATCATGCACGATTACCATTTTGTGTTCTGTTTCTGTTTACCGTTGCCATCTCTCGAATTTTCTCGTGGTAGCGCGAGACATCTATCACGGTGCAGCAATGCATACCACGCACCGAAGAAATCAGGTCAGAGTGTAAACACAGCCGCTCATACTAGCGTAAACAGCAGTGTAGTACTAATGCCACGTAAAGTCTGTTATTAGAGAAGATTGTGGATTGCCAGTCAGATATAGTAACAAGGGGAATGACAATGACAGAAAGTGCTCTGAATTATTGACATAAAAACTCAATAATATTTATTAAACAGAATTGCACGCCCTTTTTGTTTTAAGACGTTCGCTTGTTTGAGACGCCATTTGTAATTTTTGAGAGTCACTATTCGGAAAAATGTATTGCTGGTATGATGTGGTCAAATCAATTTTTCTATGCTATAACTGCATAAAATCTTGGTGTTTTGAATGTTGGTATAATCAGTGATATTTCCACTGTCAGGTGAGACTATATTCTGCTATATTTCGTTTTTCTGAGCCAAAAAACTCGCGGTATACACTTTAAGGTGTGTGTGCCAAACGGCATGTTCATCCATGTTACTCTGCCACACGGCTACTCATGTTGCTGTTGTTTCAGCCGAGTTTTTTTTTACATGTTCGCTTTTCATTTTCGGTTAGTCTTTGTGGATAACAATGCCGGCGTCTGTGTCACATCCTCATCGTTTTTTACACAAGTTTTTTTTGCCTTTGTTTTTATATATGTTAGCAAAGGCAGGTTAGAAAAACAGCACTGTTGTCTGTGTTTCACGTGTCTTGTCATGCCATCGTCGTTTTTTACCTAGTTATTTTTATCTTTGTTATTATTTTTGTAAAATAGTTGAGGGTATTGGGTTGTCGTTGGTATTGAAAGCTTGTAGTGGCTTGTCATCAGTGATGAGAAACCATGTTTGTACTGGTTGATAGCATTGATGTTTAGCGGGTAATAGTGGTTTTCATTTTAAAACAGTGCGTGACGTGGTCTGCACCAATTACATTACAATGTGGATTTTTCGTAGCCATATTATCAGTTAAGCAACAAATAAGTAAATTAGTTAATAAATAAATAAACAAATATGTATGCGTGCGCGTGTTACATCCAAACCTTATTTTAAGTTGAAATGCTTGCGCGGTGGTACGCAGTTGTTGACTGTAAGCTGGCTGCAGGAATGACAAATGGAGGTGTGCCCTTCTTCTGTGAGTTCTATCTAGAGTAATCTGCACTTGACCGACCGTTCATTCGTCACGTCAAGTAAGTAGTTTGTTGAAGCGAACAGTCCTAAGAGATTTTTGCAATCAGCTGCCACTTCATGATGAAATCCCCCCCCCCATCCCACCCCGAAGGAAGATATCACACATTGTATGTGCCGCGTTCATTCGTAATTTTATTCGAAAGCAGCCAGTGGCGTGCGTTAGTCTTTTTAGTAAGATGTGGTCAGGCCTGTTACTTGCTGGCCCTGGTCTGCGCTATGGCAGGGTTTTCATACACTGTTGCTGGTGGTCAGATATCTTCCTTTAGCGACCCACGCCATAATGGGGCAAACGCAGACGCACGCCGACTGGAGCTGGCTGTGGAGCTGTATGTTTCTCTGCCATCAAGAGACAGTAGCTGTGTACCCACTGGGTGTACCTTTCGTGTACAAAGTCTGTGTAGTGTTTGCTCGCCGTGCCGGTATGTGCGTGGCAGTAGCGCAGTAATCCACACCTAGTGGCTTGCCGGGTCGTGTGCTGTAAGGTAGTTCGGCCAGTTACGTGCCCCTAGGCGACGTGCCAACACGAATTGAGACAGGTCGTGTACATTGTCGCCAGCAAACGTTTACGTGAGAGATCTACTAGACTGCGCATGGGTGTCTGTGTAGTTTACTCTGCGGCACCCACACAGCACACCCTCTCACGCCCGTGCACCAGCACACATTCTGCGAATGAATTGAAGAGGCAACGTGTGACTGAGCGCGAGTACTTGGGTAGATAGATAATTGTTGCATACCTGCTCGGAAAATGCGCGCGCGTATTAAGTGATCAAGGGACAAAAACGGATCAACAAAAAAGGATCAAATGACAACAAAAATGACAAAATTTGTCATTATTAATCCCTGATGTGAGATGGCATCTATATCTGTGTGTGTGCTCGGCAACGTCAAATGACGACAGCGTACGATACGTACGTCTGATTACGCGAGCTGCTGACATGAAACGTTACACCGTAGATACGTCGGCTGGCGTGCCGCGTTACATCCACCAGTTGTTGGCATCGTTAATTCGAAACGGCACACGATCGCATCAGACGCTCATAATGCACCGAATAGCTCTATCATGAACTTCTGCTCAAATTAACACTGCAGATCGTGTTCGTTTTTAGCTTGCCTTGACATCGTCAAGATGAGCTATTGCCATAGGGTGTCGTCCGTCGTCCGTCCGTCCGTCCGTCCGTCCAACATTTGGCTACGGTCAACGATAACTTGAGAACCGTTTGACCCACATGTTTCAAATTGCATACAGTTGTTACTCCTATGGGAGATATTTGAACGTCCTATTTTGAAGCACGCCAGTTGACCTACTTTCGAGCCACGCCCACTTTTTGGCAAAAATGGAAATGGCCATAAGTCAGTTCAGGTTCAATGGCTTTTGCTCATTTTTTGTATGTGAATGAATAAGGACTGGCCCCAAAACACATCACAGGTGTTTTGATATTTTTTAAATATTATGCAAATTAGGTAGATTTTGGCAATTTTACTATGCATTTCAGTGTCTGCCTACGATCAACGATAACTCAAGAACCGTTTGACCCACATATATGCTTCAAATTGCATACAGTTGTTACTCCTATGGGAGATATTTGAACTTCCTATTTTGGAGCACGCCAGTTGACCTACTTTGAGCCACGCCCACTTTTTTGCAAAAATGAAAATGGCCATTTAGATTTATTCGATTTTGTTAAATTATGGTATGTGAATGTGTAAGGCTAGCCCCAATTAGTATAAAACAAGTAATAAGGGCATTTGATCACATTTCGGTCCGTCATAAATGAAACACTTGCCAAATTTTTCATATTATCTCCCTCTTCTATCACACCCAAGGTGAGCTATAGTGTCATTGACACTTTCAGTACTCGTTGCTCAGTGTATTTGGCAAAGAAGGGGCGTTTGGCTCACGAACGCGCGCACGCACGCACGCACACAAACACATACACGCACACGCACACGCACACGCACACGCACACGCACACGCACACGCACGGACACAAAACATCAAAAGCTCAAATGCTCCCCGCCGCATGCTACAGAGCTACTATTACTAGAATATATAATACACCAGATGCCGGGACCAGTATCGTGAGGGACGGTAGAGGGGGTAAGGCTATCCCCGTCTAGGTTATGAAGCAATAATGAGTCTAATAAAAGCAAATAGCCATGAAATAAGTGTAATAAATGATTAGACAAAATAATCACTGCAGCCTAGATTCTATCGTACATATGAGTTATTTCGATAAAACTTTTGTCTTAAAAGAACTCCCTCGTCACACAAGATTTGCTCCCCCCCCCCTTCGGAATGCGCGTGGTCTACTCCTGCACTGGCACTATGGTCATAGCTGAATGATTTCCCTCGTAACCCAAATGGGCGCTGTCAGTTATCATAATGTTTACGCGCCACTGTCACTGCTACTGATGATGCTGCTGCTGGTGGTGGTACTGCTACTACTGCTACTGCTGCTGCTGGTGGTGGTACTGCTACTACTGCTACTGCTGCTGCTGGTGGTGGTGGTACTGCTACTACTGCTAATACTGCTACTACTGCTGCTGCTGGTGGTGGTACTGCTTCTAATACTGCTGATCTGCTGCTGCTGCTGCTGCTGCTGATGATGATGATGATGATTATGATGGTAATGATGATGATGATGATGATGATGATGATGATGATGATGATGATGATGATGCTGATGATGATGATGATGATGCTCGCACGCATCAGCCGCCCGTAGATGTTGTGTGGTCGACGCGTGCATCGATCCACTGATGTGACAATACCTCACGTAAGTGGCCGGCGGCTTTACACGGCTCATCGCTTTTTGCACCGCCGGATTAGCATGGCGGTAGGCGTAAGGGGGAGGTGAGTGGGGGCATTGGGAGGGAGGAGGTGAGTGGGGGCATTGGGAGGTAGGAGGTGAGTGGGCGCATAGGGGAAGGAGGTGAGTGGGGGCATTGGGAAGGAGGAGGTGAGTGGGGGCATTGGGAGGGAGGAGGTGAGTGGGGGCATTGGGAGGAGTGCGTGCGTGCTGTGCGTGCGTGCGTGCGTGTGTTGCGTGCGTGCGTGCGTGCGTGCGTGTGCGTGCGTGTGCTGTGTGCGTGTCTGTGTGCGTCTGCGTGCGTGTGTCTGTGTGTGTGCGTCTGCATGCGTGGTGTGTGTGTGTGTGGGTGCGTGCGCGCGCGCGCGTGAGTGCGCGAGTGTGTGTGTGTGTGTGTGTGTGCCGTGCGTGCGTGCGTGCGTGCGTGCGTGCGCGCGTGCGTGGTAGCAGATAACATCCTACAAC